ACTTGATAACAGAAAAATATTTGAAACTAAATGTCGGGCACAGTAAAACCCTTTATGACAACTCAAATTTTTATTTTTTCAAAAGCGTCAATCAACAAACGTGTCTTACAAAACTGTAACCAAAATAGCGCCAAAAACGACTATTTATAAGAAAAAGGCGTAGTAATACAAATACTATGAAAATTGTCAAGCATGAAATTGACCTTTAACCTAACAAGGACCAATCAGAAAGCCTGTTATATATCCATAATTAAAAGATTTTATTTAGCAACAAAATGCTTCACATAAAATAGCTCTCTTAAAGAGAGACTTTTCTAAATAACATAAAAAACTTTTCTTTTATCATTCATCAGTCATTCTAAAATAAAAAAAGCTTTCAAAATGAAATATTTACTCGTCCCCCGGTAATGACTCAATGACTATATACTAACATATCGATTTCTATGACATGCTTCTCAGAATAGAACAGAACAGAACAAAACTGTTTACAATTACATGATTATACAGTGCAATAATAAATATAATAATTTAATTTCACATGGCATGGTATCTTCATTTATGTCGTTACAACAATTTTTTTTTTTACAAAGAACAAGATTGAGAAAAAAAAATAGCAAAGACATGAATAGACGACAAGAGAAGAAGTTTAACAAAGAAAACGGATTGGGGGAATATAGACGGTAAATTTCTCCATAAATTTGAAACGGACTATGACAGTATTTTGATTTTAACATTGAAATTGGCCTTAACATGGTCAGGTACAGGTGAGTAACGAGTGAAACAGACCATAGATTTGTACGCTTTGCAAGTTAAAAATAGCAGTAAAACGGACACATGTAACTAAACACAAAAGGTGTATAACTTCAAAGTAGGAACACTTTTTTTATAGGAACATTATTTTTTTTATCTTCTGAGGGTTTTTAACTGGACTTAATGATTCAACAATTGTCATTTGATATATTGAATTCAACTGCTTAAAATAATAGATATATGTACATACTAATATGTTATTATACATCTTACTGTACAATACGGGAATATACATGTATTTGGTTGAAAGTGATATTGGACGAGCCGATATGCTTAATTCAAATAAAGTTAAATATTGTGATACACTTTATGCAAATCAACTGTCTGACCATAACAAGTTTCACTATAGTGTAACATGTATATCTGTCAATTAGGATTTTAAATTCCAAACAGCACATGACTTAAAGTCAACACTTACAAAATTAAACAGAAAATTAAAAGTTCAAAATAAACCACGCACACAATTCAATCTTTGGCAAGAATATAAGCGTAACACATTAAAAGTACAGTGTTGAGATTAGTTATTATGTTAACTGTCTTACTTCATAAAAATGGAATAGCACATATATATATACATATATAGAAATATTCTATATTCTATATAGAACAAAACATCATTAATACTCATATAATACTTGTGAGCCACATCTGAAATATCTTCTTCTTGCAAAGTATTCGGAACGACAAAAGAAGCATTCGAACAATCACTAGTGCAGCTATTTTCCAAACGCATAAATGTTTGAACAGCAAGACTACATTTCGATAATGTATATCCTGTAATTGGGTGTTCTTGTTTTGTTTTTTGTTGTTGCTATATTTGTTGTTGCTTTTTTGTGGTTTTTTTTTTGTGTTTTTTGTTTGTTATAAAATAAAAATAACAATGCATAGTAAAGTTAAATAATGTAACAGTTTTAATCCGGTATGTATCAGACAGCACTGTTTAGAATAAATCTTCCAAATATAGTGTATGTTTTATATTCTTGTGTCTGAAAATAATTGTAGAAAGTTTACATACATTCTTGAATCATTTTCTGTTTTATAAAACAAAATAAAGAAGCGAACAACACCAAGCAGGTAAAGGTAGTTTCTATAGGAACACATGTCTTTATGTAATTCGATAAGTCTTCTTAATGCTTCAGTCACACTACACCGTATAGCGTTAACGGACGTCCAACGCATAACAAAATTTTCAATCCGTCCATGTCCGTTCGAATGCGTTTCTTTTCCGTTTATCATGCGGTGTTTGCGCTTCTTGTCTGGCGGTGTCCGGCGGTGTTCGTTCCGTTCGGTGGAAAGTTTTAAACATGTTCAAAATTTGGAACGTACACCACCGGATAAAGTTGTCCGTCAGATGTACGGTAACCATGCGCTGGTATGCGTTTTGTTCGTTATCCGTACGTTCCTTATTCTGTACTTGTCCGGTTTGAGTCCGTTCTTGTCCGGTGGACCTGATTCACGGTCGGACTATTAACGGACATGCAGCGGATGAAACGTATGTTAAACGGACGATAACGAACAAGGGACGTATAAGAACTGATAAATAACAGACATGAATCGATGGTCCACCGCACAAAACTGATGATGAATAAAACGAGGTTTCCCTGGTTATAAGTGTCATATATTTTCCTGCATTTCAAGTGTAAGGACCTTCTGAAACTTTGATAGTTTGAGTTAATGATCCACATATCATGGAGTGTCGCGTTAGAGCCCGCCTGCAGTATCAAGCGGCCGTGATCCAGGCACGTATTGACCTGTCGATATTGTTGCTTATGAAAATAGGAGAAGAAAGAGGCGACTGCGGGGGTGGTGGTCAAAGGCTTGGCTGGGTCCTGAGAGACGTCGAATGTTTGGTCTCTACGATCAACTCATGATGGAGCTGCCGAGAGAAGACCAGCGGTCATTTACGAACTTCATGAGGATGCCTCTTGAGATGTTTGATGAGATTCTGGAACGAGTGGGTCCCAGATTAACAAAACAATATACCATGCGGTTTGCGTAGAGGATACCTCACAACACCATCTCTATCATCGTGCGAGAAGTAAATATTTTTATTTTCCCATGATTCTGAATGATAACTCGAACAATTACATGTATATAATTTCTGGTCTTTTAAAATATCGATAATTTGCTTACATGTATGTGAACGAGGTTATTCCTTTGCCAACAACAGCTGCTGATTGGAAACGCATTTCAGATGGCTTCTTGGAAAAATGGAACTTTCCTCAAACTTTGGGTGCGTTGGAGTGCAAGCATATTGCCTGTAAAAGTGTCCACCTAGTTCCGGGTCCACATATTTCAACTATAAGAAGTATAACTCCATTGTCATGCTGGCCCTCGTTGACTACGACTACAAGTTCATTTGGGCCGACATCGGAGGCCGCGGTGCTGCATCTGATGCTCAGTTGTGGAACGAGTCCGACCTTAAAGCTGCAAATGACGAAACAAAAAAAATCGGACTATTTATACAGTTTTGTCCGTCACGTGACCGGTAGAAATACGCTCGTCGAACGTTCAAAGAACGTTTAGTCAGTTCTTCATGCGCTGCGTGTACGTTTTGTGCGGTACAAATCCGTTACTAGTACGGTGAAGTCCGTTAACTGTACGTCGTTCATCCGGTATATGTGTGTTGATCGTTTGGTCATTGTGAGTTTTGTACATTTTATGCGCCCCGTACAGCGATCATGAGAGCACCGATCAGCAGCGGGAAATGCTTTTCATCACCGGATAACTTTCAGCCGCATTTTTCTTTGCGTTTGGCGTCCGTTAACGCTATGCGGTGTAGTGTGACTGAAGCTTAACACATTGAACTCGATCTATAATTCTTTCCAAATTCCAAAATTTAAAAAAGAAAAAAAAATATCATAACTACATGTAACACATTAAAGTAGAGCTCCATTGAGGTTGAAATTATTGCATAGATCATGTGATCCACTTAAAATGGCAAAAATGATAAAGATACTATACTCAGATTGAAAATCGATTTGTTGCACAATTTTCTCTCCAGTATGTGTGATAAAGTATGTGTGAAAAGCGTTGCAATTTTTTTTCATTTTTTCTTTCATTTTGCACAATGAAAATAATTATTCTGGTAAAATAGAGTAAGGTTAACAAAACAAAACAGTAAAAACTCACTTAACAAGACATGTATTTTCAGTCTCTTCATGTAAAAATACTAAGAGTACCTTTAAATGGTAAATGCTTAAGTTGTAATTTTAGTATTTGTTGTCAGTTACACATCACAACAGTCTTCAAAGAAAGATACTGTATCCTTAAAGGGAAGTTAAAGGTGATTTACGCATGGTTTGCATCTTTTCTTTTCATCTCGGGATGTTTCTGCAAATAAAGCGTCTCGGCCTGACGACCTCGACACTATTTTTAACGGAAACAGCCATCGATGTCGTCCCAGCCAGAGTTATATTATCGTAACTAACTCGTATCATATGCTATTAATATAACATAATATGTACATTTATTTCACACCTTAAAAATATAACCAAAGAACGTCAAGCATTTGCACCGTGTGATCTTACTATTGGATCAGATCAATTCAGCCATATTTTCATTTTTTGAGTAAAACACCCGAATCATATTGTCCTTCCTTTAGCCTTTTTTCATTTTCAAATTTAAACATCAATATAACATCGTTATTGTTGCAGAAATAACAAAAGTTCTTTAAAATGTCCAATAATGGTGGTGTGAAATACGAGGTTGTTGTAGACTGTTGATTACAATATTGATAATATTGGACTCGTACACAGCTGCAAAAACTATATTGAACTCGGCTATCACCTCGTCCGGTACAGGTTTGACAACTGTGTATTCGACCATTATAATTTAGAAGTGTAATAACGATGTATAATAACCTCATAATACAAAATCAAATACCTCACCCAAGAAATACGTCAATTAATTTATCTTTTCCACAATATTTTAGTGACCAAAAGTTTGCCGGAAAAAAGCCTTTTTAAGTAAAAAATTTAAAACGAATCCCAAAACCTAAAATATGAAGTACAGAGATGGTTTTTGGATTGCATTTGGGGCATGAAAGAAACATCATCCCAAATTGGAGTCAATACGCCCTATTGTAATGCGGAGAAGCCTCAGGGGACGCCGCCGATAAAAGTAACCTCTATGTAGGGCCTTCAATGCGACACAATAAAAAGAAAGTAAAATAACTGTTACATACCATTTCATTGAGATTTCTTCAGTAAACAATATGTCTTGGAATGTCTATTTCTATGACTTCTATCAGAGAATCTTTTACCGCAATGGACACATTGGTACGGTTTCTCGCCCGTATGTAGACGGATATGACGTAATAGACTACTTCTAACGCTGAACACTTTACCACAGTAAGAACATATCGGTGATTTCGGTGGTTTGAAAACATTGTTCCCGTCATCTCGGCTTGTTATTGCTCTACCTAAAAATAGTGTAGCATTTTAATACATGGAAGCATAAATAATTTAAAATCATAAATCTATTCTAACAATAGAAACCAACATTTATAAGAAACACAGACGTCTCTAATGTATGTTTCAATTGTTATATACTAATTTTCATAATATATTAGGTAGTATTTATATACGGAACTTTTAAAGGATTGTTTAATAAATGTTAACTATACAAGTGTATTATAAGTCATAACTCTACAAGTATCACAGAGGCTAAGCATGCAGTATACTCAGGAGGCGGGGCTTATAATAACTGACGGAAGCCTACTACATTGGTATCAGGTCTAAAAATTGGAAAAAAAAACAAATGACAACTTTTTTATAACATTTTTACTGTTATTTCACAAACTTAACATAAAGAAAACCATCAGTTCTAAACAAAAATAATTCTAAAGATTTTACAGGTAACTTTGAAACGCTTAAAATGTTTTGCACAGCCTTCATTTCAGAGCACAAAAAACGACAGTCTGTTTGTCTTCCTTCTATTTACCAAAAAAAAAATCATAATACGTCTGCCTGGCTAGAAAAATTACTTTTTGTTGGAGTACAGTAGTCTACTGTAACACATTTAAATATGGGGACCTGACATTTTTATTACTATTTAAATTAACTTAATGCAATTTCTACAGACGGAAAAAATGCCGATTTAGGCTGAAGCCGATTTTAGAACTTAATCGTGTTGTCTTAAAACAGATTTCTAATTTAGACTACATTTCATCTAATTAAATTAGAAAATATTAACTCATTACAATATCTTATTCTTGAAAAAAGTATCTAAGAATTATTTCTACAAACGTCCTGTGCATTGTTAATTCAACTTTCGCCGTGTTATAAACGGTCTTTGTTCGCTCAGGAACTCCAGTCATAGATACTTTAGACAACTATTCTTTAGTCATTTTTTTTCCATACGGTTCAATAGTAAACTTATTTTATCCCATGTTTTCTGAAGTCAACTTATATTTTCAAACATTTTCAATTAGTCAGCTCATCTTGTCAACTTATTAAGTCACGTGTTTTCTCCCGCTACAAAATTTCTCCGTGTGTTTCCGTACATAACTCTGATCTGAGAACCTTTTCCCGCACGTGCGACACTCATAAGGTCTCTCACCAGTATGAATACGAATATGTCTGTTTAAATTTCCAGTCTTTGTGAATATCTTCCCACAATACGTGCACACTGGTAACGTCTTACAACTGTATCCATAATCCAATTCTATTCCTGAAAATATTGTTATATATTGCGTTTAAAAACAATATGTACACGTGCAATGACCTATAGCTGAAGTATAACATAAACTATATCTTTATACAATCCATGTAATGGTTTCATTAAAGCCTAACTATACTCGTTCAACATGACTGCACGATCTGTTATCTTTATTCCTTACATGTTCCATATTTTTTGTTTTCAGGTCCTATCATTCTTTATAACAAAAATAAATACAACATTATAAGAATTTTATAGTTTTTATTACATGTTTTTACAAAACGAAAAATACATTTTACATACAATAAAAATATAGAAACAACAATCAATATCAGATGAACAACATCATCATACATTTAAACAGGGTCTTTCAAATAGATCATGATTAAAATCTATCAATCAATCAATCGATCAATCAATCAATCAAAGCTGTCATGTAATTGCAAATATTAGTAACTTAATGTCATTTTGTAATGATCAAAGAAGATTGATTGTTATTGAACTTAAACATTATCTCAGTTTATCTGAAATAACATATCTCCGCCAAGAGCTCTGATACATTTTAGCATAAAAGAAATGTATATATTTGTTGTAAACTACAGAAAAAATAGAATCCCTAAAGCATGTAAAGAACGCTCAAATCGGCAAAATTTAAATGTTGCAGGCTCGGTTTGATTGAGCCATGTAAGGTATTGGTAATTGTAAGCTCCTGTCCACGCCCCACTAGCACCGACTAGTATTCATCATTTAAATGTATTATTATGATTGAAAATCGAAATATGCGCTGATTTGTACATGACTAGAAATGTGTACATAGGACTAAATTCCACCAACATTACACTGTTTTGTCAATCTTTGATCAGACAGAGCGTGACGGACGGATAAAAGCTTATTTATACCTTTCTTAAGCGGCGGGGGGGGGGGGTAATAAAATTTATGTTCCTTCAGGCATATAAAGAAAAACGGCTGTTAAAAACATTTAAAAAATTCGTAAACAGAGCAAATCCGTAAAGCGAATATGATTTGTGTATCAAAATTGTTTAACATATATTAGTGAACAATTTATAAGTCATTGTTTTTAATTAAGGTTCATTATTTCTGGTGAGTTAGAATGTGTCGTTTAATTAAGGTTCATTATTTCTAATTTCTGGTGAGTTAGAACATGTCTCTTGAGCGTTCCTTTCACATTAAAACTTTTATCACAAATATTGCATTTGTACGGCTTCTCCCCTGTATGTATTCGTAAATGTTGTTCCAGCTTCCAGTTGGTTGGAAACGGTTTTCCACAATAAGAACAAAACTTCCATTTTTTCGTTGGTATACTATGTTCTATTCCAAAAATGCTGAACTATATATACCAGGTTTATATCTTGCTTGTATATGCCTATATGTACGGACATCAATAAAATGAAAGACAAGCTCAAGATATTTATTCTATCATTTATTTATTAGTATATGTACACATTATTTACAGAAAATGCCTCTCGTTCAAATCTAATAACTAGTAACACTAGAGTACATCAAAAATTAAAACAAACTTCACTTCACCGAAATGCAAATATTTCTGTACCCTTCAGAAATTTCAATAATCATTCTTTAAAATATAAATTAGCAAACTAATAAAACAGAGAAACAATAATTTCACTATTTAGGCTATAGCAATACATATACAATGTACATTCAAATAGCAAGGAGCAACATCAAAATACATATGCACAAGAATACAAAATACATGTTTATACTTCAGAGATTTCTATCTATAGTGTTTGATCTTTCAATTTGCCAGCAGATACCTCCCTATATCCACATATTTTACACGTGATGACTGGAATAACTTCCTCGTGTCGAAATGTCACGGACTTAAACAAACGATTCATAATAGTTTATTTAATCTTGCTTAAGTCTTGCCCTATTTTTGTCCAATGAAAAGGTCTAAATTTGAAAATTTCGGATTGTCTTTTTCCCATTCAGTTAACACAAGAGTTGTTAAAATGCCCCTCTTATAACTACATGTATATCAATTGGTCTAAAAGTATTAAAGTTCAGTTTTATAGTATACATGTATATCCGATGTTGTTGTCTTCGACGCTTCTTAAATAGTAAATTAACTGACAACTGTAGAGAACCTCTCACACGTGCCAAGATATATGTTCCACGTGCCAATATATATGTTCCTCGTGCCAAAATATATGTTCCAAGAGCCAAGATATATGTTCAAATTTAAACGGTCTAGTGTTCAGTTTTAAACTACCATTTGAAATGTATTGCTGCTATGTGTTTCTTTACTGCACTTTTCTCACGGAATTTTCGGGAACAATGGGTACAACTAAATGGTCGCTCTCCTGTATGAATTCTCAAATGTTGCTCCAGTTTCCAGTTGGATGAGAAACATTTCCCGCAATATTTACACACATGCTGATACTTATAAACTTTGGCCAACTCTTCAATCCCTGGAAAAAAAACAATATACATTTGTATATCAAAACTTGTCTACACCAACATAATATAAAGTTTATCTACAGAAAGAAAGATGAAGCTCATTCAAGAAGTGAAAAACGTCAAGAAACCGACCCCCCCCCCCCCCCCCAAAAAAAAAAAGGGTTGATAAATTGCAAAAATAAACCTGTGATACATGTATAAAGCAAAATATTAATATGATAAGACAACAAGATCAACTTTCATACATGATTTCATGATTTTGCCTAAAGAAGAAACAAAAGCCTATAAAGTATAGGTTAAAGTTTGTTGACAGCGCCCGACCAATTTAATTATGTAAAATTATTGAATAGATATTGAAAGATAATCGGCGAATAAATACCCAAATTCTACTCAATAGCCGTGATAGTACACGCGCTACGAAAATTTTGTTGAAATGCGGGTCCAAATCCAAACACGGACATTTTTTTCCTGTTTCGTTTTGTCGATATTATTGAGTTTTGAAATAAAATATTCTGTTTTCATGATCGCACGGTGCCCATACATACTTTTTTAAATTAATAAGATTAGTGAAAATCTGGAGACCCTAATTTTAGTTTTACTAACGTATATGATGAAAGAATGTAATAATATAGCATGTTTCATTTTTAAAGTAACATGTCAAAAAATATTAATTGCTTTAAAAATTAAAACATTGCTGATGAAACATGTATTTGACAATGGGGAAAAAGAGGATTTTTTGGAATGAGAATGACTTCTCACACAAAAAGCCTGTTCACTTAAATATAATTACTTGAGAACCATTCGACTAATAATCGCAAGGTTGATTCAGGCTTGTACGAGGGTTGTTCAAAAAGTAATAGGACTGCAGCTCTACAGTTCACATTTTTTAATTTACGTACAAAATTTTACATGAGACAAATATCGGAACATGTTCTCTATATACTGTGAAAAAATCAAAACAAAATGTAAACAAATGAAATTTCTGTGAAATTTTCAAATGACAAGGGGTTCGAAACGAGGCGCACGCTAACAATACAATAATTGACGTTCATGACGTCGTAAAATAAATCGAAATCGTAATAAGCGTCATTCTCTCTGAAAGTAGTCCCCCTAGTCTCTAGGTGTATGAGTCATGTAACTTTTACTTTGCCTCATATGTGGAGATGAAGCAAGAAAAAAGCGATCACATTCTCGTTCCACTGTTTCAAAAACAAAAAAAAAGAAGTAAATGTCCGATAGCCGGCCATTCTCCGGGTTTTCTCGTGTTTTTTAGTATTCTTGGAACTCAATAGGACTGAAAATGTTAAAGCAAAAGCAATTTATTTTATTGATTTACTCATGTCATCGTATGTTTTTAAAACAATATGATTATATACAGAACATAAAGATATTTCTCAATTGAAAAGTATCCTTTTCTACTAAGCACAGTCTATCGTTTATTAAAACAAGTTTTCGGAAACACTACTAATTATTACCGTTAACTATTACATTAATTCATTGATTACGCGTATATGTAGTTAAATACAATAAAATAGTGTTTATAACAAATGTCTTATTTACAATCCTTTGGTTAAAACTGAATAAGTAGACCCGTAGCAGATACAAACAACGATAAACAGTTCGCGTACCGCTTACCGTGGATTCTTTTGTAGCGCTTTTGCAATTGACGTCACTAACGTCCCGTCAATTTTCAACTTTCATCCTCGCCCTTTCTCGTTAGTGATCTTGTATTCGCAGTTTTTGAATTGTTGTGCCAGCTGAAAACAAGTGCCCTGATGGCAGGATAATTGTCCTTAGTTCATTTAATCATTTTTAGTGTATCTGAATGATTATAGTCAATCTGTTGGCAAAATTTAACGATGGCACATATTTTCTGTTTGATAACAAATGTCATATTTCTACATCTAACGCTATGACCTCTGCTGTTCAAAACTTAATAATTAGGCCATTTTGTGTCCGAATGACGTCAAATTTGCAAATGTCACATTAATATATTTCAACGTATTGATGGAATACAGGGAAAAACAAATAGTTATTTATGAATACATTAGAAGTAGAACTTAGCTCCAATGACTATATTTATGTGCTGCGCCGGGTGCGTGTTACCATGGTTATTCAATAGCAAAGGAAAAGCGCGTTTAGCACAATAGATTAAAAAAACTTATGTTTGATTTGTAGAAAACATTTTACGATTGCTGTACATATGAAAATATTTTAAATTGAATGAAATTTGAATACGCAAGACTCCCAGTCCTATTACTTTTTGAACAACCCTCGTAAATGACCCCTTTGTGAGATTAGTAGATTTTTTGTCAAGCTCACAATGACTTAAAATAAGATTTTGTAAATACGAATTATCATTTCGTTAAAGCGTTTTATTATTTCGTAAAATCGCATGAATATTTCGTACATGTAATAACGAATTAATATTTGTAATTACGAAATAATATTTCGTAAAAACGAACTAATATTTCGCAAAAACGAATTATAATTTCGTAATTACGAATTAAAATTTCGTAATTACGAATTAATATGAACAGAACAGAACAGAACAGAAAGTTTATTTTGACGTATACAAAGTACATAGTCAATTAC